CCCCGCTGAAACATCAAGGCTATGCTCACACTTACGGAGCAGCCGTCCTCCTGTGGACTCACCACCTGCAGAGAATCAGTGAGGGGCTGGTGCTATGTGACTTGGGTGGCATCTCTGACTGTCACCCCCCCGACCCAGAAATGGATTAAGGGGTAGATAATGGATGGATGGATGGATGGATATTATTAAATTATGGTGGAAAATAAGTATTTGGTCACTTTCTTTTTTTTTTTTAATAATGTGTTTATTGACATTTTTAATTTTACATAAACATACATACAAAAGACAATAAACAGAATTAAAAAGTGAGTAAGTCAATAATGCAAAACCAAACACACAAACAAACAAACAAGCATTGGCCCAAACAAAAATAAATTTCACATCAGAATGCGAATGCCCGTTTGACAATAGCGGATAACTCCAGTCCAACATATATTAGGAAAGGCTCCCAGGTCTTACGAAAGACCTCGTCCTTATGATTCAGTCGACAAGTCAGATGGTCAAGGGAGATGTAGCCGAAGACAGTTCTATGCCATTGTGTCCTTGTGGGAATCTGGTCCGAAATCCAGTTAATCAGTAAACATTTCCTGGCACAAAAAGTAAGCAATCTATACAGTTTCTTATAAGATAAACCTTTATTGGTATTTGTCTTTGATAACAGGGTCAGTCAAACCAAGCAACAAAAACAGAGGGTTACAGTTCAAATTAAGAGAAAATATTTTTCCCATTTCCTGTCCAATCACTTGCCAAAAATGTTTTGTTTTAACACAGGACCAAAAGCAGTGTGTAAGGGTACCTATCTCAACTTTACACTTCAGGCATAGTGGAGAGGAGTCAGGCTTAAACTTGTGACGTAGGTACGGAGAGATGTGGGCTCTATGGAGAATCATAAGCTGAGTTGCTCTTACTTTATTACAAACACACAGTGTTTTCACATTACCCCAAATATTTTCCCAATCATCCCTGGTAATAGCACAGTCAAGCTCTTTTTCCCACAGCTCCCTCAAGTGCGTAGTGCTCACGGGTGAAAGCCCTTTAAGGATGTTATAAAATATCTTAATAGAGCCAACTGATTTGTTTAAAAAAATGTGTCTCTCAGTGTCTGAAATATCCTGAAATGTCAAATCTGCAGTATTCTTTCGTATGAAGTCCCTCACCTGCAAATACTGGTAAAAATCACTCCTTGAGATGTCATACTTTCCAAGTAGCTGATAAAATGACATAAGAGTAGGTCCTTCAAACAAATCCTGCAGTTTAGATAACCCCTTATGTGCCCAAATTTGAAACCTGTTATCAAACATACCTGGCACAAACTCTGGATTTTTCCATATAGGCGTGAGACAAGAAATAGTATTTAACCGTCCTTCTAGCTTTCTAACCATTCGCCATGCATTAGCTGTTGCGAGAGTAATGGGATTGGAACAAGCTAGCTTTAAGGATCTAGTCTTTCGAAGAAATAATACATTTGCTAATGAACATGTAGACATAGAGCTTTCTATATCTATCCACAATGACATGGGTTTGTTATGCACCCAATCAGATATGATGCGCAAATGTGTGCTAATTTGGTAATGTTTAATATCTGGGAGATCAAGACCTCCTTCTGCTGAAGGACGGCACAGCATAGCTATCTTAAGTCGTGCTTTTCTTTTAGACCATATAAAGGAGCTGAACCAGCCATTTAATTGTTTAATTACTTTGCGAGACAGCAAGACAGGAACCATCTGTAATGGGTAAAGTAGCCTAGGAAGAACATTCATTTTTAATAGTGTGATTCTGCCCATCCAGGAGAGAGGAAGCGCATTCCATCTCTCCAGATCGAGCCGAATGCGGTCAAATAATGGGGGGAAGTTAGCTTTATACATACATTCAACTTTAGGTGTTATATGTATTCCCAAGTAAGTGAAACCCTCCGGAGACCACTTAAAAGGGAAAGATCCCAAAGGTATTTGTTTTGAGGTCAAAGGGCCCAGAGGCATAGCCTCGGATTTGGTGAAATTAATCTTGTAACCTGAAAAACTACTGAAAGCATTAATTATCTCAATGAGGCACGGAATTGATGTCTCTGGGTTTGTTGTAAAAATTAGAACATCATCAGCATAGAGAGTAATTTTATGCTCCCTATTGGCAATCCTGAGGCCATTTATACTGTCATTCATCCTGATGACCTCTGCCAGCGGCTCTATTGCCAAGGCAAAAAGCAGCGGCGACAGAGGGCAACCTTGCCTAGTTCCTCTAGAAATAGCAAAGTAGGGAGAGCGTAGTCCATTTGTAAGTACTGCCGAGAGAGGATTTTTATACAGGATTTTGATCCAGTTTATAAAGGTAGCTCCCATGCCGAACTTATTCAATGTGTAGAAAAGATATGACCACTCTACGCGGTCGAAGGCTTTCTTTGCATCTAAAGAGAGCACCAGACCACTCCTTGAGTGGTGTTGAAAATGTTGAATTGTATTAAGTAGCCGGCGCATGTTGTTATGAGAACTTCGACCTTTTATAAATCCAGTCTGGTCTTCATTAATTAAGATGGGCAGTAACTTTTCAAGCCGTATTGCTAACAATTTAGACAAAATTTTCATGTTGACGTTTAGTAATGAAATAGGTCTATATGAGGCACAATCTTCTGGAGCTTTACCTTTTTTCAGAATCAAGGAGATGTCTGCCTCCCTCAGGGATTGTGGTAGTGTACCTTTAGCCAGGGAATCATTAACCATATCCGACAGAGGATCAATTAATAGGTCATGAAATTCCTTATAAAATTCCACACTAAGTCCATCCGGACCAGGGGATTTCCCAGATTGTAATCCTTTAATTGCATTAAGTATTTCCCTTTTTGATATAGGAGCATCAAGAGCGGTTTTCTGATCCTCCAATAAACAAGGAAGGTTCAAAGTAAGAAAGATATCATCCATTAACCTGAGGGATTCAGGTTGCTGTTCAGACTTATATAATTTTCCATAGAAGTTTTTAAATGTGTTATTGATATTTAAATTGTCAAAGGATTGTTTACCTTGGTTATCGATAATTGAGCCAATTGTTTGAGAATCAGCCTTTTTCTTAGTTAAATATGCTAAGTATCTCCCTGATTTGTCGCCACTTTCATATAATTTTTGTTTTGCGAATCTGATCTGGTTTGATGCTTGTATCGTCAGAAGTGAATCTAAGGCACATCGAAGTGCAGACATCTCCTTAACCTTCTGTGAAGATGGCCGTTGGCCATATTCTCTCTCGGCACGCTTTAACTTGGACTCAAGAATTTTTTGTTGCTCAGCCTGTCTTTTCCTTTTGGTAGACATATAGGATATAACAATACCCCGGGAAAAAGCTTTGGAGGTTTCCCATAATAATGACGAGTCATCAGTCGAACTTGAGTTAGTGGCAAAGAAGACCTTAAAGCTGCACTAACTGACTTTATTTTTGTATTCATTACGAAAATGCTATCCATGTCCATGTAGTGCATTGGGATATACATCATTTTGAAGAAAAAGTAGCGCAGATTTGTGCTGGCGTGACATTATATTTTAGATCGAGTTTTGATGAAACAAGGAAGAGAATGTGTTTCGGGTCGCGGATTGTGACCAATCACAGCGGACCACTAGCCCCCACTTTCGTGAGAAATCTACAGGACCGTTAGCATAGACGGCTGAGTTAGCACAACAAGCGGCGGAGGTAACCTGAAGCTTTGTGTCTCTTCGTCATCGGTTACTGCTTACACAGCAAGACAGCCATCCAAAAGAAAGCCCCGTTCCTCCGCTCTTCCCGGTTCTATCGTTCTATGGTCACGCCATCCACGTGCAAATCCATATTCGTGTATTATCCATATTGGGAGACGCTAACTCCGTCCCAACAGTGGGTGTGTGTGGGGGGCGATAGCTTCGTGGGTGCGGGGAGGGGAGCAGAAAGAGAAAGGCCAGCAGGTCCGCGGCTTCAAAACCCCAAAGTCAGTTAGTGCAGCTTTAAACTCGTCTCGAAAATATGGGGAAAACTTCTCCTCGGTCAATATAGATGAGTTCAATTCTAGTAGATGACTTTGAGACATTTGAGAAAAATGTATATTCTTTATCAGAGATATGCTGCGCTCTCCACACATCAGTATAATCCATGTCTTCACAAAATGCATTAACATACTTGGCACAAGAGGAAAGCGATAGACTACCAGGTGGAGATTTGTCTATAATAGGATTAAGATGGCAGTTAAAATCACCTCCTATAATTGTATGTTTGCTACCAAGGTTAATAACCTTGGTAAAAGCGGAGGATAAGAGATGTGTTGGATAGCCAGGTGGATTATACACATTTAATATTGTAAGTTCTTCACCAAAAATAATACCCCTCAGGATGATATAACAACCTGATCTGTCCTTTATAGAGTCAATAAGTTTAAAAGGAATACCTCTTTGTATCAAAATTGCCACACCCCGGCTTCTTGATGTGAAAGATTAAAAATAAACTTCACTAAACCCCCCCTGTGTAAGTTTTAGATGCTCACTGTCATTTAAATGTGTCTCTTGCAATAAGGCTATTTGTACACGCTCCTTTTTACGATAATTTAAAACCTTTCTACGTTTAATTGGCGAATGTATCCCCTTGACATTCCAAGTGCACAATTTAAGTCCCGACATAAATATGGTTAATAACGAAAATGGTCAGGCATGGGCATATTTTTAAAATTACAGATAAAATAGCAAAAAAAGGGCCAAAAAGAACAAAAACTGAACAAAATAAACCAAAAACGGTGTACTTAAAGTACACACTGTAGAACTTAAGCGTTAGACGCCACACTGTACTCCTCCCAAACATAGAGGAGATCAAGTGAGTGAGATCTCTAGCAGTCAAAAGGTACATATCAGTTCAGGTCGCCGGGAACTGTGCTTACATTTCCCTACATTAACAATAAGAGTATATTTGAAGCTCCGTTTTGTATCCTAGTAAGCAATGATTACCATACTTACAGACAAGTGATAGTGCAAGGTGAGTAATTGGAAAGAACAGTCCAATTGTCACTCGTCACGGCCTGAAGCACCCCCGTCCAGCGAATCCAAGTAATGTTCTGCCTCAGTAGGATTATTAAACACTTTGTTTGATCCACGGAAAATAATCTTCAGTTTAGCCGGGTACATCAGCCTGTATTCTGCACCAAGAGCTCGAAGCCGTTTCTTCACTGCGTCGTAACCTTTCTTTCTACGGGCCACAGTTGCAGAATAATCCTGGAATAACATCACCCTGGAGTCTCTGTGTTTCACAGCATGATTCTTCCTCGCAAGTTCCCAGGAGGCATTCATCACGCGTTGTTTATCTTGGTAGTTGTGGAAACGTGCAACTACTGGTCTTGGTCTCTGTGCAGGCGAGGGTTTGGGGCCGAGAGTGCGGTGTGCTCTCTCCAGTTTTATCCGTCCGTTCTTCGTTCGCATAAGTAGCACCTCCGGGAGCCAGTGCTCGAAAAAGCGCGTCGGATCAGTCCCTTCCACGTCTTCAGGGACCCCCAGTATTCGGATATTCATCCTCCGCCCCCTGTTCTCTAACTCGTCAACACGTTCAACTAAAAAGTCCACAGTCTTTTCCAAGTCCCCGATCTTGGTTTGGATCGGGTCTGCCGCATCCTCCAGGGCTCCAATCCTCAGCTCCGTTTCAGCCAGCCGCGTCTCATGGTCATTCAGAGTGCCGCCGTGCTTCTTCAATAGCTCTAACACGTTAGCAACATTAGCATTCTCCTCCATCATGCTAGCTTGCTGCTCTTCGGAGGCGTCTGAAGCTGGGCTATTCCTCCGTGACCGTCTCTCTTGTCTCAGAAAATATGTGTTAATGCTCATTTTCACCAAGGGAGTTCCTAGGTAATCAGAGCCGAAGGGCTTGGTAGGGTTAGTCGATAGTATCAGCGATGTGTTTCACCAGCACTCCCGAACGTGACTTATCTCTACGCCGCCATTTTGAGACCTCTCCTATTTGGTCACTTCAAACAAGGAAGATCTCTGGCTCTCACAGACCTGTAACTTCTTCTTTAAGAAGCTCTTCTGTCCTCTACTTGTTACATGTGTAGGGTGAGAAAATGTCGATATCACACATAACTTAAGTTATGTACCTGATATCGGAGAATTGGATCAAAAACAACCATGTAATAATTTTTTAATGTGTCCATTGTACAGTGTCCTTGGGTGTTCTGAAAGGCGCTTTCAAATAAAATGTATTATTATTATTATTATTAATAAATACAATAATTGATAATAGCTTTATTTAGGGGCACCAGGGAATAACTCCCAACTGATAACGTGCATATGACGTTACAATATCAATTAATTGGCTCATTTATTGATTAAGTAATCTCATGAGTCCTTTCATTATTTAATTAGCTAGTTAGTCCAATTCTCTTCAATAGAATCTGAAGGTAGTGAATTCTTTTACAAATCAGTGACCCAATTTCTGGAGTTAAAAGTACAAATATCACTTTCAGACAAAGATGGTTTTGTAGATTTAATGAAGTATACACAATACAGACTAGATATGAATTATGCAAATTGTCAAGAATAACATGAAGGAAACGTTGATTTCAAGATACATTGTTAAAATGCTAGGCTAAAGTGAGCTAAGCAAGGCCTTTGTCTATGAATGGATTGGTATAGGCTGAGGCCTGCATGTGTTCAGCCTTGGTAAGAGAAGTATTCTTTGAAGTATAGGTTTTAATAAAGCCAACAACTGTGTGTAGCAAGAGAGCAGATCATACAACCAGAATAGCCTTTGGTGAATAGCAGTCCTTGGGTCTTGATGGCGTTGGATGGAGGCTTCTTGTCCCCAGGGCCTGGACCATGCGGCTGCATCATGTGGTCCTCCCACGATCCACAGTCTAGGTGCCAAAACTCAGCAACTTCTTCAGGTTGAAGCTGGAGGCTATTGCAGGGTTGTGGAAGTCCTCTCAAACGTGGAACTGAGGTTTGAGGCCATCTAAGAGGCCCAAGGCCCCTTGGTTGCCTAAGCAGAGCCCAGGGCAGAGCCCAGGGAGGTCTCGTCACTCCGTGGTTCCAAAGCAGACTGGTTTGTCTTCCCTTGTTGTAGAGTCGTTGGGGGAAGGGTGTTGCCATGGCACTTATCTTAAGACATTCTTGCCCACAATAAAACCTGAACCACAAGGATTTACACACAGTGGAGACAGGAGTTATAATATGTCTCAATATACAACAAAATGTCTTTGATTGAGGAAAGAGGTCATTTTAATTTATCCTACACATGTATTAATGGCACCTGTTTGACCTCGTTATCTGTATAAAAGACCCCTGTCCACAGCCTCAAACAGTCAGACTCCAAACTCCACTATGACCAAGACCACAGAGCTGTCGAAGGACACCAGGAAAAGAATTGTAGACCTGCACCAGACTGGAAAGAGTGAATCTACAATAGGCAAGCAGCTTGGTGTGAACAAATCAACTATGGGAGCAATCATCAGAAAATGGAAGACATACAAGACCACTGATAATCTCCCTCGATCGCAAGATCTCATCCCGTGGGGCCAAAATGATCATTAGAACAGTAATCCCAGAACCACACGGGGGGACCTGGTGAATGACCTGCAGAGAGCTGGGACCAAAGTAACAAACGTTACCATCAGTAACACACTACGACGACAGGGAATCAAATCCTGCAGTGCCAGACGTGTCCCCTGGTGAAGCCAGTGCATGTCCAGGCCCGTCTGAAGTTTGCCAGAGAGCACATGGATGATACAGCAGAGGATTGGGAGAATGTCATGTGGTCAGATGAAACCAAAGTACAACTGTTTGGTATAAACTCAACTTGTTTGGAGGAAGAAGAATACTGAGTTGCATCCCAAGAACACCATACCTGCTGTGAAGCATGGGGGTGGAAACGTCATGCTTTGGGGCTGTTTTTCTGCTAAGGGGGCAGGACGACTGATCTGGGCTAAGGAAAGAATGAATGGGGCCATGTATCGTGAGATTTTGAGCCAAAACCTCCTTCCATCAGTGAGAGCTTTGAAGATGAAACGTGGCTGGGTCTTCCAGCATGACAATGATCCCAAACACACCGCCCGGGCAACGAAGGAGTGGCTCCATAAGAAGCATTTGAAAGTCCTGGAGTGGCCTAGCCAGTCTCCAGACCTCAACCCCATTGAATATCTGTGGAGGGAGTTTAAAGTCCGTGTTCACTGCTCTCGAGAATATCTGTGTGGAGGAATGGGCCAAAATACCAGCTACTGTGTGCACAAACCTGGTAAAGACCTATAGTAATCGTTTGACCTCTGTTATTGCCAACAAAGGTTACAAAGTACTGAGTTGAATTTTTGTTATTGACCAAATACTTATTTTACACCATAATTTACAAATAAATTAAAAAAGCCTACAATGTGAATTCCGGGAATTTTTTTTCCACATTCTGTCTCTCACAGTTGAAGTGTACCTATGATGAAAATTACAGACCTCATAATTTTAAGTGGGAGAACTTGCACAATCGGTGGCTGTCTAAATACTTTTTTGCCCCACTGTATATGTGTACTGAGCAATTGACACCTGTAGAGTGCAGTATTGTGTCGGACATCAGTGGGGAGAAGAGAGGATAGGCGAGTATCTGTGGCATAGATCCATGGCTTTCAATGTATGGGCGTTACCCGCTAATGACGTCACACACAGGTTAGAGCATAGACCACTTAAATTCATCAACAACACATTATTTTTATAAAATATAAATCCTTTATAAATATAATACTTTTGACTGTAGTTTGTTCATTGCTATTCACCCGTTGTCCCATTGTCTGTTTCATGGTACGATGACGGGATCTCTGAGCCTGGCCTCCTCCATCTACACCTGCGGACTGCCCCGCCCGACCCGCCTGGGAGTGCTTCAGTCCTGCACCGGACCTGTCCACGTTCAGCGGCCACTGGTCCACGTTCTGTAGCTAGCTTAGGTCGTGGATCATTAGCCTGTCCGTCCGGAGGAGCGGATCCCTTTCTCAAATGGGTCTCCCTCCCTGTGGGTTTCCCTAGTTCTCCCCAAAGTTTCTCACTTTTTCCCACTGGGTTTTTTAAGAGTTTTTCCTTGTGGATGCAGGAGGGTCTTGTTGGACAGTTAGTGTCCAACAGAAAGGATTGGTGATGATCAGGACACTTTAGCATTCTACAACATGCTAAATTTTTTTATCTGTGTGTGCTTTATATTTTTCATGTGTTTTAACTGTTGATTCTCTGACCTGTGTTGGTGATTTCAATGGTTTTTTTAAGTCCTCTGAGATGACTTCTGTTGTGACCTAGGGCTATACAAGAATAAATTGTACAAGAATAAATTGTATTGTAATACTTTAAAATGGGGTAATATGCCCCTGATGAAAGTGTCATGTCTAAGAATTTTTAGATACCTATTGTAACTGTAGTTCACCGAATAGGTCCATGTGGGGTACCTTAACATGGTGTAATATGCCCCTGATTAAAGTGTCATGTCTTACCCATGTCAGGCTATGTTGCTGACGCGTAGATACATTCGCATGCAGGTTGAGACTTACTTGATGTTCTGTAGCGTAGACTTCATTGACCTTCCGAATGTTGATGAATGGAATGTTGCTTACAGTTTGTAGCTTATCAGTCCGTGCTCACCCTGTCATGATGCCTTCCCACAGGTGTGCAAATGTCCCTCTTAAGCCCAACACAGGAGCAGCCTAATTGAGACACCACTCTATTTTGTCACCCAGTGGACAAACTAGGGCAGTGCGTGAGCCCTCACCGTGCAGATACTAAACAAGAAAAGCTCAAATTTGGCTCCTACAGGGTAATAGTAATATTCCCCTGATGATTGTCATGTCTAATGTCCAAATGCCAAAAGAGGTACTTTAACATGGTGTGATATGCCCCTGATGAAAGTGCCATGTCTACCACTGTCCGAATGCCCGTTACGAATAACGTTCATTAAGGGCATTACATGTGCCCCTAAAGGAAGTTTTGTCTTTGTTTTAAAATAAAAAAGGCGTCCAAATTGAAAGATGTAATTTCTCTCAATTTGGACGCTTTTTTTTTTCTTTCTTTTTTTTCATTTATCAACAAATATAATTAACTTTTTTTTTTTTTAAATCTTTAAAATATTTGAAAAATGTAACAGTGAACAATCACAGAACAATAAAACAATGAATTATTTACAATAAAACAATGAATTATTTACAATAAAACAATGAATTATTTACAATAAAACAATGAATTATTTACAATAAAACAATGAATTATTTACAATAAAACAATGAATTATTTAAAATAAAACAATGAATTATTTACAATAAAACAATGAATTATTTACAATAAAACAATGAATTATTTACAATAAAACAATGAAATATTTAGTCCCTCTTCTTTGGTGGTCTTTTCTGCACCAGGTTCTTGTACTTGTTAACGTCTGTCAGCTGCACCTTTTCCCTTATCATTGGAGTGTATTTGTTTTTTTTATCTTTCTCACCGTCTCCAGTGTCTATAAAGAGGAAAAAAAGAAACAAACATTAGGAAAAATTCCACTAAATTTTAAGTTCTGATCAAATGAAAAGTGTATCACTCACATTGCTCGGGGAGCGTGTGTTTTTGACTCCTTCCCCTGCCCCAAGCAGCCGCCGCCGCACCGAGGTGAACGCTGAAGGAGAACCAGCGAAGGAGGTTGATGCTTGCGACCCGGCAGCGGAGGAGGGAGACTTTTTGGAAGTTCTTACCTTCTCCGCCGTCAGAGGTCCAGAAGGCACAGGAGTTGCCTTGTTGAGACAGCTGAGTGCTATAAAGCACTGCCGCATCTCCTGTGCCCTATGGACAGTCTTGTAGAGGGCGTAGAACCTCTCCTGAGTGTCAAGGCTGTGGCACATGAATTTTGCCACCGACTCTCGGGTGGCCTGATCGGCGTTTTGCTCAAAGTTCTGGAGAAAAAAGAAAGGGAAATATAAGCAAGAAACCTCTATGGTAACAAGAGGTACATAATTAATTTCAACTTACGCATGTCGAGACCGCCGTCCGGATAGCCAGGAAATTGGGCTCGCCCTTCAGCCCGGTTTCCTGCCACGCCCCATCAAGTGCTTGATGTCTTTAATCACCCCTTTTCCATTGTTACTGAAAAAGTCACGGTTTTTGGGGATACTCCGGTGCAGCCCCGTGCTGCAGCTTCTTACTGACCCAAACCCAGTGCCGCAGCTTCTTACTGACCCAAACCCAGTGCCGCAGCTTCTTACTGACCCAAACCCAGTGCCGCAGCTTCTTACTGACCCAAACCCAGTGCCGCAGCTTCTTACTGACCCAAACCCAGTGCCGCGGCTTCTTACTGACCCAAACCCAGTGCTGCAGCTTCTTACTGACCCAAACCCAGTGCCGCAGCTTCTTACTGACCCAAACCCAGTGCTGCAGCTTCTTACTGACCCAAATCCAGTGCCGCCGCTGCTCCAGTGCATGTTTATATATAACAAAACCAGAAACAAGGGGTTGAATTTTAAAGTAATTTCCATCCATCCATCCATCCATTTTCTACCCTTTAATCCATTTCTGGGTCAGGGGGGTGGCAATCAGAGATGCCACCCAAGTCTCATAGCACCAGCCCCTCACTGACCCTCTGCAGGTGGTGAGTCCACAGGAGGGCAGCTGCTCTAAGTGTGAGCATAGCCTTGATCTTTCAGTTGGGGCTTTGGGCAAAGTGGGGTTAAGTGTCTTGCCCAAGGACACAACGACAGCAGTCATCAGTGGGAGTCGGTGGAGAAGGTGTAGAGGTGGGAATTGAACCCACAACCTTCAGGCCCAAAGGCCAATGCTCTACCAACTGAGCTACTGTCGCCCCTAGAAATCCTGTGTGAGCAGCTGCGATACCATTTTGCCATGCCTTTGTGTGTGTCTAAAATCTATTTATTGATTCCTTCTCTACAGTATGGAAGAGGAATAATTTCAGGAGCATTGAAAAGCAACAGATGGGTGTTTGGGATGTTTGGAGTGCAATAAGGGAGGAGACCAAAGCCCGTTCTTCGTCTTGTCGGGAAAAGAAGCCGTCGAGAACTGGTCTCCCTTATAGCCCACCGTGTCAATCCAGGTGCCTCAGTAATAAGTGATGATTGGAGAGCTTACCGCGTACTTCCAGAGCTTGGGTACCACAGTTTCACTGTGATCACAGTCAGTGGTATGTGGATCCACGTACTGGAGCGCACACACAGTATATTGAGCGAGCATGGCGAACACTTAAAGAACAGGTTTGGAGGCTCCGAGGACATCAGACAGAAGACTTGCTCACTGAGCACCTGTGCATCATAGAGTAGAATGAGCAGCTGCTGTAAAGCCTCACGATGGTCTCTTTGAAGGATTCTTCATGACATCTCAAAAATGTATCATTAGTCAGCAGTGGTGATTTGTAATGAAGTAAATGTACACAAGGACTATACTTTAGCAGAGTTTTTGAGGATCTGTACTGTACTTAAGTAGTTTTTTTGTGGAGAACTTATGACTTTATTATTACTACACTACATTTGAAATACAAATATACTTTTACAAATGTAATAATTTCACAGGGCCAAATTTACTACTATTGGAGTAATACTTGACCAGTAGGAAATTATAGTTTCAGTGCATGTTAAAGCGTATCTCCCTCGTTTAAAAAAAGTTTAGAGTTGTATCTCAGTTGATTTACTATTTTGAGCAATCTTGTTACATTAAAACACAATTGTCATTGACATTTTCATGAAGTTACTAACCACCATTACTTCCCGAGTGATGGTTAAGACAGACAGCTAAAGAGAATGTCATGTTTAAAGCTGTAATTGTTGCTGTTTGAATAAATAAATAAATCTTACATCATGGTTGTGTTTTTTTCTGTATTAACACATATGGTCCACGCTTTAGATTAGGGTACTGCAAAATAGTGTAATAAGCAGCTTATTAACACATTTACAAGCATATTGTTAGTGGCCTACTAACATGGTATCGATAATAGTTTAATAAGCAGCAACGAGAATGTGTAACAGGAACTGCTGAGTCTGCACAAGTGTCACTGATAATTCACTAGTAACTTTGTCACTAGTCACTTTACCTGTTATCAGTACTACTGCATTATTACATATCTGATATTTACTGTTATCAGTACTACTGCATTATTACATATCTGATATTTACCTGTTATCAGTACTACTACATTATTACATATCTGATATTTACCGTTTTCAGTACTACTGTATTATTACATATCTGATATTTACTGTTTTCAGTACTACTGTATTATTACATATCTGATATTTCTGCCTTTCACCGTCACTTTACCTGTTGATATTATTTCTGATGTTTATTCTACTCATATTCTCCGCTGCTAATGTATAATATAGACATCTGTAAATACTCCGAACCAAGTGCAATTATAGCCCAGAGTTGATCTTATTTTATTTTATCTCAAATTTATTGTCTATTATCTTAAATAATAGACTTTGATGTGTGCAATCTGAGTGCTCTTATTTCCTTTCTCTGCTGTAATGTGCAACAATGACACTGAAGTTTCACTGTGAGACTAATAAAGGTTTATCTTATCTTATCTTATTCATATATGTATAAACATATTGCTCCTGTAATAAGTATCTTACGAATTACTTATTAAATGCTTAAAAGCATATAACTAGAAAAACATAATAGTGAAATAAGCAGCTTATTAATATGTTTATAAGCACATACAAGCAAATAATAAGCATGTTACTAATGCCTATTAATACCTTATTAATACTTAAAGAGGCTATATGGAAGTTTCACCACATATAAAACTATACAGAATTAAAATTTCTTCCACATACATTCTCCAGCAATGCCTTGGTGTGTAGAATGAGCCCTTGCATTTTCATTCCTATTGCCTCTATATGCCTAAAAACATGTCTTTATCTGCTTGGAATTTGAGGATTCGGGTCGAAACCATCCAGGGCAGCGTGATGCGTAATGACGTCATGCGCGTTCACGCTAAGCTGTAGCAGCGATAGCTACTTGTGTTATTAGTGCATCTGCAGAGCGAGAGGTGGCTGTGGGAGGATGGATACAGCGAAGAACAACAAGAGACCGGCTTCAAGCAGCGCCGAAACTCCAGCAAAGACCCAAACTAAAGCAAAGAAACGGAAAATTATTTCTAGTGTGACCAAAAGGGCGAAACTCGAGTCTGAGCGCCGTAGGCAACAAACGAGGGTAAACCTTGGAGTTGCTTTTGAGAAGTGGAAAACTCTGAGAGAACTTCTGGGCATGAGAAAAGACCCACAGTTGGCATCATTTCTGCTTGAAAGGTAAGACATTATCTCTAAACACATGTGTTTATGCTTTCAAAGCAGCGGTGTCCGTGCATTGAAAGGCTACGTAGCGAAATACTTTTTTTTTTTGTCTACATCTAAGTTTTTATTTGTGGAAAGTGCTCAGAGTGAGAGAATGATGGGGTCATTTTCTAAATACTATCTGTAATACGCATTTCTAGCAAGATCTCTGCGTCAAACTAACACACTAGCTAGCATTAGCTGGCAAAGCCCAGTGAACTGCGGTTTGTTTACAAACGGGGCGTTTTCTAGAACTACACCACCGTACGAACATTTTCCCTTTTAAATGTATGTACATTGCAATCGCAATAGTAACTAGTTAGTTGTTGAGCGTGTAGAGTCTTCGAAACATACGCGTGTTATTGTAAATGTACTTATTCTTGCAACCTCCAGAGCTTTGGTTCAGAAACCCACTGATAAGAAAGGTAGACTCTCCCAAGATGCCTGGGTAGATCTGAGAGCCCCATGGATATCCTGTCAATGTCCAATCTGCGGGAGAGGGGGTTGTGACCAAAACAGCGCTCTGTCCTGACGTCACAGAGACCAGCGCTCAAACAGTATTCCAAGCTATTGACACGGCTCCCGGTCATTTATTCACTGCCTACAGCCCCATTGCTCCACACCTCGGGATTTTGCACAGTTTATCAGTATTTTATACCACTCAAAGCATCGGCACAGCGCGCACTTGCTCTGCAGCAGCCCTCTCACCATTTGTCACCGGCAACTCCGCTCCGGGTCGCTCCGGACCATACGTAGACCGCTCAAAGCTTAGCGCTCAAAGACTATATATAGCGCTCAAAGCAAATATTAGATGCTCAAAGCAAATATTATATGCTCAAAGCATATATATGTGTGCTAAAAGCAAATATTATATGCTCACAGCATATATATGTGTGCTCAAAGCATATATATGTGTGCTCAAAGCATATATATGTGTGCTCAAAGCATATATATGTGTGCTCAAAGCATATATATGTGTGCTCAAAGCATATATATGTGCGCTCAAAGCATATATATGTGCGCTCAAAGCATATATATGTGCGCTCAAAGCATATATATGTGCGCTCAAAGCATATATATGTGCGCTCAAAGCATATATATGTGTGCTCTAAGTATATATATGTGTGCTCAAAGCATATATATGTGTGCTCAAAGCATATATATGTGTACTCAAAGCATATATATGTGTGCTCAAAGCATATATATGTGTGCTCAAAGCATATATATGTGTGCTCAAAGCATATATATGTGTGCTAAAAGCAAATATTATATGCTCACAGCATATATATGTGTGCTCAAAGCATATATATGTGTGCTCAAAGCATATATATGTGTGCTCAAAGCATATATATGTGTGCTCAAAGCATATATATGTGTACTCAAAGCATATATATGTTTACTCAAAGCATATATATGTGTGCTCAAAGCATATATATGTGCGCTCAAAGCATATATATGTGCGCTCAAAGCATATATATGTGCGCTCAAAGCATATATATGTGCGCTCAAAGCATATATATGTGCGCTCAAAGCATATATTATGTGCGCTCAAAGCATATATATGTGTGCTCAAAGCAAATATATGTGTGCTCAAAGCATATATTATATGCTCGAAGCAAATATATGTGTACTCGAAGCATATATTATATGCTCGAAGCAAATATTATATGCTCGAAGCATATATATATGTTCTCAAAGCAAATATTATATGCTCAAAACAAATATGTGTGTTCTCAAAGCATATATATGTGTGCTCGAAGCAAATATATGTGTGCTCGAAGCATATATATGTGTGCTCGAAGCAAATATTATATGCTCAAAGTTTATATATGTGTGCAAATGTGGTTTCATATTTATGCAAAATGACCTCGAAGACCTTCTGGAAATGGGGCTGGTCGGCAATTGTCACCAACAGCAGGACGTTGCCTTTGTGGAAAAAGTCAGAGCAGGGACCATGAGCCATAATCCACACACACACACAATTGCCTTGTTCTACTTTTTTTTTGTTTTACTGCATTGACACAAATGCAGTAAAGTATACTACTGTCATGTGCAGTATACTGTAGTACTGTGATAAGTAAGTAATCTTTATTTATATACCATGTACAGCTTGTACATATACAACCTGTACAGATGTACAGTATACTGTATAGCAGGGGTGGCCAACCCGCGGCTCGTGAGCCGCATGCGGCTCTTTGGCTGGTTCCGTGCGGCTCTCGGGCTTTCACTCGACAAGCGTCAAAAACGCCTCGGTGGTGGTGCTGCCATTCATTCTCTATGTAGTTCTGACCCATAGTAAAGGCGGACTCCACTCCACTAGCCAGGCCACCAAAACAATCTGACGTCGGCGAACGTCAATTCTGATTGGTCAGATGCGCTGTCAATCACTCTTCAGCCTCAGCTGTTGCAAATATCATAACAAACAACACGTTGCCTCGATCCATGACGTCCGTACGGAAAACAGTTCCTTGGTCGCTGGATGAGGGCAACACCTTCCTCAGTTTGAAGAGAGGACACCAGCGTGAGCTCGATGGTTCCACCAGAAACCAGAAGGTGTTTGTGGAGCTAGCGCTAAGGACGGAGCAGAATGATTCCCACGAACATGACAATGCAGAGAAAAGTTAAAAAGCTGACAACCGTGAAATGAAAGATCACAGCAGCAGAAGTAGAGGCAAAACCGAAAAGTCTGGAGGTGGTTTGACCAAATGGATTACATTTACGGACATCGGCTAACACCAGCTAACATGCTAAAACCAGCTAACACCAGCTAGCGTTACACCAGGAGAAAAGCCAACTCTGCCTGGTGAGTGTCTGTCTTCAATCAAATGCAAAACTATCTGGTCTTATACTGAACATGTGTCTGTGGTTCTGAATCAGCAAAAGTGGTGTTGGTGTTATGTGTCAAATCTATATCTTTTGCTAAACGTAGTCAGAGAGAATCATGGTTCGATAAAGACAGTTGTGTTTCTGCTGAACACTGGGTTGAAACTTGCTTTTTTCATTGCGGAATCATAATTGATGTTTCGCTGACGTGATATTGTTCTGGTATCAACTCGCCCGGTTAGAACCAGGGCCAAACCATTAATAAAAAGTACCGGGGAGCGGTTAAAGCGAGCGGTGGAAGCGCCTGCAAACCGTCCAGCCATTTAGTACTGTACGAGTCAATCAGGGGTGATGTTTATGTAGTGCACATTTGTATGATGTGGCTCTTTGCTGTAACACAGCAAAAAAATTGGCTCTTAGTCTGTGACTGGTTGGCCACCCCTGCTGTATAGAGATGAGAACAAAAATAGTTCCAATGATGCTTCACAGAAATCTAACTGATAAACAGAATACAAACAGTGAAAATTAAAGACTGGAGTGTTTTATATAAAGTACTGTTTGTGTTGAAGAGTTTGAGTTTTGACAATAGAGTTTAATTTTGAGACAGATGTGTTTGGTTTATGTCCCAGTGTTGTGTGTAGAGTTTAATGAGTGATTAATGATCATGAGTGATTTTGCAAACTGTTTTCAAGCAATAGGAAAAAAAATGTAATAACTGCTTAATAAAGTCTACCACTGATCCAGTCTGTTAACGTACAGCTCACAGCATCATTATGACCATTATTATTGTTGTTGTGAGTAGTAGTACTACTACTACTAATGTCTCAAGGATACCACTCTCTTTTTTTCAGTGTTTCTATATCAATAAATAGATCATATCAAATATAGGCCCAACCTAAGCCAATGTAGTTTATAAAAATGTTTTAAAACTCAACACAAATCCAACAAATTAAGAGCAACTCAGTCGTCTATTATTCGGCCAAGGGTCAATTCGGCTTGGAACCTTGTGAAGCCTTCCAATCTCATGAGGATATCAATTGTTACCTAAAGCAAACATTTTAGAAAAAAAATAAAGTCAGAAAAAAACATGGCAGACAAAGTTACAGGACAATGTAACTTATGAAACATAAATGTAAACATACTTCTGGCACCATAACGTCGATGATAAAATCCACATTTCTGATTTCCAAATAGTCCATTGCCAGTGCATTTTTTACTGTTTTTATTAACTCCTCAAGCTGCAAAAGAAAACAATTTATTGAGTGGGATGATAGCATGGTAATAATCAAATACAAATGAAACATGGCATACTGGTGTTTCACTAAAAATGGAAGGTCTTCCGTTCAAAATTTGCTTTAGTGACATGTTCCTCCCTGGATTGCGCCACAGGAACATTCGGTTTGATTTTCTTTTGTTTGAATCCAGTAAGGCTTTTACATCCTGTAAGAGGGACAGACGTCATATTCAAAACATAGGTGGCATTAGATTTAATTCCACAAACCTTTATTCTTTCATGGGAAACAAGTCCAGTAATGCCGTGGTCACGCAGACAAGTCAAAGTTCTAGTGTGAGAAGGGCTTTTTTCAAGCATCTTTAACAAATATGTATTTAATCTTTTTTACATATATCACATACCTTGTGAACCTGTATGGCTCGGGGAGATCACATCCACAGCTGAACAAAGACGACTTGTACTCTTCACAAATAATCGCACAATCTTTGTGTAGCCAGCCATTGCATGTTTCACACTTGACCCAGTTCTCTTTACAGACCAGTGGATACAATGCTCTGTAGGAAAAAATAAACAGTAATTTCAGTTTTACATGGAATGAGAGTGGCAATAAGAACTTTGCCTGACAATGCTCATAAGCCAGCAGCATCATACTTAAACATTTTTTATGTGTGGAGCTCTACTATAGTACAGAAATGTACAGATTAAGGACAGCAGTGCTAAATGGATGTGTCCTCTAGACCGTCATGAGACCGGTTTGTTTTACCCTCCTGAAGATGTGTTGTTACAATAGGAATCCAGTTCAGTCACGACCATTATGAAGCCTTTAATGCCACATGGCAAACACATTTTGGCAATAAGCCTTCATCAGGGCATTTATCTCAAGATAAATCAGCATAGCTGCCTCTGTTGATTTAGCTGGCAGGGGTCCCATGTCTCGTAAAGATAACTTACTTTACTTGTCCCTTTCCACTTCTGTCATAAAATATACAGGCATGTATGTCTTCGGCCATGCATGGTTCACGCACTTTTGCTCCCTTTAAAATAAAAAGTAATATATTTAATTCAACTACAGCTGATTAGACTGCCATAAAGCTCGGGATCATCATCACATCAGAATGGAATTTGGGACTTGCTGATACTATGTGATTTCTTTGATTTTCATTGGTTCCATTTTTATAAATTTTCCTGAGCTCTACAGCAGCCATCTTATAAATACTTGGAAGAATATGTTACCTGATCAAGAGCATCAACAACTAGCCTGGAGGCATGGTACATTCTTAAATGACATAACTGTATTGTATTGAGAGGGTCATTGCCCATTTTGACACCACGAATATAAAGTTCTGCCGCCTGCCAAGAGTAATATACATTTATTAAAATACCTTGGATAGCAATATACTGGCTAGTATTCATCACAAAACACCTACAGTGCAAACAAAAACTCCACAGTTAACACTGTCCTTTTGTCTCCACTGAGGTGGGTAAAGGACAGCCCATTCCTCCAGATTCCACACATTTGCAAAACCTTGCCTGAAAGTGTCAAATGTTGAATTTTGGAAAACACACACACGCCAATAGCCAATTACTGTGAATAAGCATACAATAAACCTTAAGATCTGCATCTCTTGATCTGATATCCTGGTATGTTGTGCCAGTGAATCAAAGATGGAGATTTCTTTTGTAGAGCCATTAAATGCCTTTTCAGAAAAGATGATTGATTGTTAGATAACAGTTGCCTTTCAATACACAAGATGCCAAAAAGCTTTAAGAATTCACCCAGAGGATGAAATGATCTCCTGTCTCTGGGGTGGAATGGCCAACAATTCGGGAAAAAGGACAATTGAGTCCTCCTTCAGTGTCTTTAATTGAGTAACACAATGTTAGTCACAGTTAAGAAGAGGTACATAGTCAAATCCAGCCTGACCTGTATACATTTTAGATGTCGTGAGCTGATGTCTTCCCCATTTATGGAGTTTCGCCACCAAGCTGTGTAGTTGTACGTTTTCAACGCAAACACCTATGAATTCAAAGCTAAATTACTCAATGAGTTAGTTAGTAAGAAAGTAAGTAATACATCTTTATTAAAAAAGCTTCAGATTAGATGGAAACATTACGTTTTCCTTCTGTTTTGCCAACTGAAGCACTCGTGCATTTACAACCTGTAACAATACCAGTGTTATTGATAATAATAGTCACACAATTTATCTGCCAAAAGCGAAAATTACATCATCTGTAAGCCAGGGAGCACTGCAAGCGTCTTCCGTTAAAAGCTCTTCGGGACAGAGACTCAAAAGATCTGCTCTGTAAACAAAAGCTTGATCCAGCTTCAAAATGGCGTAATCAGTCACAGGGCCTTTATAAATGTTCTCCAACTTTTTCTATAAAATGACATAACATTTTTATTTTTGACAATTCATTTAAGTACTATTGAATAACAAATAAAATAATTTAATGTTTATGTGCAACAGCAAAATGATAAGTGGAAATAAAAGTAGGCCTGCACCAGAAATGTTAAAAGAATATCTCTTATTGGATTTAAATAATAAAATCTGGTGTACTTCACCCACAGAATTGACATTATGTTAAAAATTCCATCTAACTCGTTCCTACGTCTCAAAACAGAGTTTGGCTCCAGCACTAATTCAATTTGGAGAGACGAGAAAACGAAATGGTTTTTGAGTATTTTATTGAGAGGTGGTTTGGCGCCCTAGGCCCCGGTGCGGCCTTCAGATCGGAGAGGCTCCTGCGATGGAGCGCGTACAATCCCCCGGGACCTAGGCACTGGTGGCGGCATTTTGGCAGCGGGAAGCAGATTGGAGGCAGATTGGAGGCAGGGTGAAGAGGAGGAGGAGGGGAGGCGGTGGTTGCGAGGCTTCGAGAGGCCGTGAAGTGGGAGTTTCTCCGCTTTTAAGCGGCTGCCTGTCCGGCACGGGATGATTGGAAGGGGGCGTTTGCTGTGCGATAGGCTGGGGAAGCGAACCGGCCTGGAGGGGGTAGCTTTTGGCTGACGTCTACCAAATTGAATTTCCGCGAGCTGCATTTCAATTTGGAGAGACGAGAAACGAAAATGGTTTTGAGTATTTTATTGAGAGGTGGTTTGGCGCCCTAGGCCCCGGTGCGGCCTTCAGATCGGAGAGGCTCCTGCGATGGAGCGCGTACAATCCCCAAAAGGCTGTGTGTTGATGGAGTTTTGCAGCCTGTTTTGCAGGGGACAGACGTCGTGACTGCTCTATGCTGTGACCGCTATCGCTATGCTGTGACCGCTATCGCTATGCTGTGAACCGCTATCGCTATGCTGTGACCGCTATCACTATGCTGTGACCGTTTATGCGCTAACCATTTTTTGCTATGCTGTGGACCGCTAACGCTATATGTATGACGCTTTCACTGACGACTATTGTACGCTATCACTGACGCTATGACCGCTATCACTGACGCTATGACCGCTATCACTGACGCTATGACCGCTATCACTATATGCTATGACTGCTATCGCTATTTGTATGGACGCTATCGCTATATAATTATAAATAATAATATAATGCATCGGTTTTATATAGCGCTTTTGTTTGGACACTCAAAGACGCTTCACAGGTGTCATTATTCTATCATGCTCTGGGGCACACTGACTCGTAGTTGCTATGACCGCTGTTCCACTAGCTGGCTACATGGTGCACACTGACATGTCGTCCGCCTAGTCTCGTACAGCGCTGTTGTTCCTCTAGTTCTCTACACGTCACTGTGTCTTCTACCCTACAATGCCGGATGTCCTCTAGCTCTATAGCCGGTGCAACTCCTCCTAAGTCTCTAACAGCCTGTGTCCTCGCATAGTCCTCTACAGCCTTCGTGATTCATTCGATAGCTCTCATACAGCCAAGCCTTGTGTCCTCCCTATCTCCATAACAAAGCCGTGTCACTAACTAAGGTCCTCTCCACACGGCCTGTTCCTCTAGTCCTTTCTACACAAGCCTGTGTCACCATCAATATCGTTTCTCTACAGCTGAGATCACATCTACTCCTCAAATCCCGCCTAAGCGATCAATCTAGTCTCTCTACACCGCTGCGTCCTCTAGTCTCTACAATGCCTGGCGTCTCTATCTCTACAAGCCTGGTGTCCTCCTATGTCTCTAACATAAGCTGCGTTCCATACCTAACTAGTCCATTCTACAGCATGTGTTCCTCTCATCTCTAACAGCCATAGCGTCAAACAACCTACAGTCTACTACAAAGACACTGTGTCCTCTAGTCTCGATATACAGGAAGCCTAGTGTCCTCTCTAGATCTCATACAGCCTAGTGTCCGTCATAGTCATCATAACAGCCTAGTAGATCCTCATAGTCTCATACTGCCCTCAAATGCGATCACTCCTTTCACAAATAGCCATCTCATAACAACACAAGGGCTCAGCGTCCATCGTAGATCTCCTTACCAGCCATGCAGTCCATCTTCAACCTCTACACACCGACCTGTCGTCCGTCCATTGGACGTCCTCATACAGCACTTAAGCCGCCTCTAGTCTCTACAAGCCCTGCGCCTCATACATCTCTTCTAACAGGCCTAGTTTCCTCTTATTCTCTACAGCCGCCTGTGTCCTCCATTAGTCGTATACTACTAGCCTAAGTGCTCCCGCTATACACTAAGGCCCAATCTGACCAGGACTTCCGCGTCTCTACTAGTCTCTACGGCCATAGTGCTCCTCTACTCCTCTATCAGCTAGTGTCGCTCTATACTTCCCCTACAAGCCTGTTCTTAACTTTTCTTCGTCCAAATCACAGTCGCTGCTCTAATACCCAACCTCAGGGCCTTCCGACTTTCATAATTCCGGAACGATATAATTCTACAATAACAAGACTAATCAGCAAATACATATTATGAACAATATTAGAAACACCTATAATACCATACCTAGAAATCACAGCCTCATTATAATGGAACTGCAAATAAAAGAGTTAGCTCCCCAAAGGTTTCAACCGGGAACGGTGCAGGTCGTAACAAGCTAAAGCTAGCTAGCTGTTTCACATGGAACTCCCCAGGGTTTTTTCTTTTCCGCGAATCGGATTGACCTTTGTCACTAAAACAGTATCTTATGTCATGAAAACGTTTGACAGCAAATTGCTGAACATCGATCGTA